TGTGACGGGCCCTGAACAACCTCATTTTCCCACGGTTTGCAAGGAAGCTGTGGTGAACGATCCCGGGGAAAATCCAAGGGGTCGGCGGATGTGGCGGAAGCCTGAAGAATCAACGAGGATATGGCAGCGTGGGGAGGAGGAGCGGAAGCGAAGGGAGGGCAACGACAAAGACGACCAGATGCAAGAGGGCGGCGCACTCATCACAACCAGCACGCGGCCGAAAACAAGCCCTGCTGTCATGGTTGGCAGCACGTCTCACGACGGTATAATGCATGCGCGCTCCGAGCGAAAATGCAACCTAGGCCAAAAAGACTGCGTCTCTTCCATGGAGCGGTCGACAAGACGGCAGGACACGTGCGCCGACCGTCACGCTCCCCGTCGCGCTCCATAGATGGATGGGGAGGGTGACGACGACGAAGACGACGTGGAGGACGAGAAAAATATTAGGCACAATCGGACGAGGTCGGCCCTGAGAGGGTGCCCGGCCCAGCGAGCGATCGCGCCCGCAATGGGCGCGGCGCGCCAGCCGCGACTCCACGGTCGGCCTGCCTGCTCGACGCAGATCGCCTGCGCGACGCAAGTTTCGCCAACCGAGGTGCCGCGACGGGGGCCCCTGGATGCAACCGCCCAGCTAAGACGGAACGTCCCCCCGCGGAACCGAGGTGATAAGCCAGTTGGGCGGGGGGGACGGGCGAAGCGCCGCCCGACCTGCCAGCGCGGCGCGCTGTCGCCGTCGCGCCTCTTCGCCAAAAATTTCAACACCTACGACGCGGCGAAGCGGCGCGCGGGCAGGGTCGGGGCGCGCCGCACCTGCGGCCCCCACCTGCCGCGCGGTCGGGCGCAAGGCGCGCGCGGCTCTCGGCGCTGCGGCGCGCATGGGGCCGCGGATCGCGCCTGGCGCTCGGCGTCGAGCCTGCACGCCCGCTCTCGCGGATCGCACCCTGGGCTCACCTGAGGCGACGGAAAGAGCGCGCGCCCACAGCCGCGCGCGCTCGCGGACGCGGGCCTCCCTCCCCGATCGCGCCCCCGCACCCAATCTGCGTTTGTGCGGGCCACCATGCAATGGTGAAACATGGACCCTTGACCACTCACTCGACTGCCCCTGAGGCTTTTCGGCACGGTCGTCCTCCCCGAATGATCATAAAAAATGGGCAACATGAATCGAAACGCCGAGAACACCACGCGAACAGATTCGTCATGCCGTTCAACACGCTCATAAGATTTAGGACAGGCTATCCAGTAACAATATTTCACATACCCCATCAAATCTAAAGAACCATCATCACTTAGCACAACCATGTCGCGGATATCCGCCAGACCCGTTGTCGGGCCATCAGACTGCGGGGAAGAGGTTTTGTGCGGCCTGCTCCAGTTCGAGTTTCCAATATCCAATGCCACAGTTCGATGTTGTGCCTCCGAGTGTATAATGCCACTGTCCGCGCGAGGGGATGGGATCGAACGCAAGCCTTTTACCACTCCCGAATCGCGTGTTCTAACTTTCTTAAGGGCCCTGCGACACGTGAAAACCCGCAAGACTCGCGCCACCGAACCAATAATTAGTCACCCGCAAATTGGACGAAATTCGGGCCCTGGGGCAACGATTCCTCGTCAATTACGCGGGACTCACGTTCCCGAGGTCACGATTCATTGTAAATTACTTCAGACTTGCTCTCCCGACTGATAGACCTCTTCAAAATTACGCCAGATTCGCGCCCCGGAGGCCACCACCCCAAACAAAATATACCAGATTCGCGCCCCCAGCGCCATGATGCTTCATACATTACACCAAACTCTCGTTCCCAAGGCAACGATACAATGGAAACTACATTGGGGTCGCGCCCCCGACGCCGCGAGATTCGCGCCACCGATGCCACGATCCCTTGTAAATCACGTCACGATTACCAGCCGCCCTCGCATTAGGATACGATATTGCTTCGAGTCATCCCCCAGACATCCCAATAGCTTTGGCCGATCCCATTATGATAGAAAGGGAACAATCAAGCCCCAATGCTCACAGGGTGTTGTGAGCCCTGGACCAAACTGTCAAAATGTCTTCATGTCTGGTCCTGGCAGCAGGCGATTTTGACCTCTCCAAACATCACTGTGCATTGCCAAACCACTGCATGGGACTGCACTGTGCAGTGGACATAAGCTGGGATGAGGCTGGGATGTGTCGTTTGCACCATACCCCCTGGCTGCGATGAGTTGTGCTTCGATGTGTACTGATCATGCATTGCAAGTCGGAAGCAAGTTCGTCGTCCACTTCAACTCGCGGACTGCCACCCTGAGTTGTCCTGCGCGCTGACACTATTATCGCGCACGTGGACTTGGTACTCCCTTGCCCATAGCATGGCCCTACAGCAAAACTATGTCAGGGCTCGACCTGAACAAACTGTTGCGTGTTCGTGCCGTGGTCGTGTTCGCTAGTTTTCAAAACACTGCTGGCATTGAGGGGTTCTCAATTCCATTATGAGGAGCTGGGTCCATCAGCGGGCCTGGCGGCCAGGCCCCCGTCTCTGAGGCCGCCCATTTCTTTCCCAGATAGAAGCCACGCGTGCGGGCCCGGCAGGCCCGTTCCCATCCGTGGCCGGGCCGCATAAGTTACACCAAAAAAGCAGGAGACATTAGATTGCACCACGCTGATTGCTCCCACGTTCTGCATACTTGAACCGCATTGCTTACACCACGTCGATTGCACCGCATAGCTTACACCACATAGCTTGCGCCCGAAGACTTACGTCACAACAACTGCACCACGTAGCTTGCGCCACGTCGATTGCAACACATAGTTTGCACCACATAGCTTACACCCCATGGATAACTCCACATAGCTGGAAGTACGTCGAGTGCACCTTGCGGAATGCACCACAGCTTGCACCACATAGCCATACCTCACATATCATAGTTTACACAATGCGTAAAGCATGGAAGTGCGTTCCTCACTGCCTACATACCTTGCACCAAAGGTATTCACTAACATAACCTTCACCCCAAACCTTGCAACACATAGCTTGTACCAAACAATTTGCACCATATAACTGGTACCACGTCTATTTGCATCACACGGTTCAGTCATCGTAACGTACACGGCATTAGCGTGCAACACACTGGCTGCTTAACATAACTTACACCAAATATGGTGTAGCACAACTATTACACCACACGCGTTCCTCCACATAGCTTACACCACCGAAGCAGTAGTCCAGGCCCATACGTGCGAGCATTCTGCGAAGAAGAGAACAAACCCTACTCTGGCCTTCGATGGCCAAGGAGGCCCAGCGCCGATCCGACAAAAGACGACTCGGGGCGCAAAACCGGCCCCACATGCCGAAGCCCTACATGCCGCCACGTTGGTTCCAGGCAGGCTGCGCGGTCCGGCGGAAGGGGGCGAGGAGGGGAGAAGCGGGCGGAGAACGACGAACGCCCAGGCGGGAGGCCAGGGCCGGCGGGGCGGGCGGGCAAGCAGAAAACGGGCCAGGCGGAAACAGCAGGCACGGAGCAGGAAGAAAGGAAAGGGAGGGAAACAACGCGCAGAAACGAAGGGAAAGCAGGGGGGAGGAAGGGGGGGAGGAGGAGGAGGAGGAGGAGGAGGAGGAGGAGGAGGAGGAGGAGGAAGAGGAGGAGGAGGACCAGCAGAAGCAGCAGCAGCAGCAGCAGCCGCAGCAGCAGCAGCAGCAGCAGCAGCAGCAGGGCCGGGCCAAGGGCCGGGAGGGGAAGGCCACCCGCGACGAACCTACGGACAGTGCGGCGGCGACACGAGGGTCGGCGCGGGCGTCGGGAAAGGCGTCGGGGGGGGGGGGTCGCGGGCGTAAGGGCGTCGGGAAAAGCGTCGGCGGGGTCGGCCGCGGGCGTCGGGAAAGGCGTCGGGAAGGGCGTCGGGGGGGGGGGGGCCTGACCGAACCCACCACGCCGCGGCTTGGTGGGGAGGGAACCTCTGCGATATCACCCACCGCCCCGCCGAGGAAGGGGCGGCCTGCAGTGCGGGGGGGCGCCGGCGCGCCATCCGCGAGAAGGGGCGCGGGGAAGGCGCCCGTGCCGCCTAGCCAGGGCGGGGGGAGTGGGCAGGGGGCGTTGAGCAGCGCCCGGCCGCGCTCACACGGCGTCCGCCGTGGGGGCCGCCGTGGCTGCGGCCAGGCGGGCCGCGACCGCTCCCACCCCTCCAGACTGGCGACACCGCCCGCGCGTTCTCCCTGTGCAGAGAGACGGAGAGTGGCTGGGCGCGTTGGTCCGCTACCAGAGCGGCGTCATCCCCCGCGGCATCAGCCGCCCGCTTGGCCAGGACCCAGAAGGCCCTGCGCGCCTCGCGACCCCGCCCGCCGCCATGGGCCTCCACCGCCATGGGGATGAAGGTGAAGCCCTGCTCCGCGCACAGCCGCGCGGTGTCCTGGTGCTGCCTCTTGAACTCCTCGCATCGCTCCGTCGGCGCGCTGGGCGACGCGGCCGACGCGGCGAGGAGATCGGCGCGCAGACCGGACGTGGCGGCAAAGTCCCAGGCGGCGGCCGCGCCGCTGCGCCACCTCGGCAGGTGGGCGTCGGCGGGGCGGCGGCCGTTGTCGCCCACCTGGGATCCGCCCTGCTCGCCCCCGGGGGCGGCCCCCCCGGCGGGGCGCGTTGGCGGCCCCGGGCGCTCCAACTCAGCCGCGGCTTGACCGGCGGCCAGGGCGTCGAAGAAGGCCTGGTTGCGCAGGGCGCCGCGGCTTTTGGCCCTGTCGCCCGTCGCCGCGGCAGGCGCATGCCAAGGCGCGGTCGCAGTAGACATCCACCCCCTCGCCACAGGCTGGGCAAACGCACTCCTCCTGCAAAAGCTGGACTCGCAGCCGCCGTTGCAGGCCGACCTGCATGAGACTGCGCGGGAAGGCGGTGCCAGTGGCCTCGCAGGGCGGCGCCTGGAGCCACGCGGCGGCGCCCGGGGCCTGCGCCAGGGAGAGGCGCGCCTTGCCGGCCAGGGTTACGCCCGCCAGGGGCCCTTCGAGCGTGGCGCTGTACACCGCGTGGGCTAACTAGAAGAATTTACACATCCACGAAATAATGCGCTGCTGCTTGGCGTCCTCGCTGGAAAACGCGCGCCTCCGTTCCGCCTGCGCTACGGGCCGAAGTCGAAGCGAACAACGGCCCACGACATCGCCTCAACGCAAGGTAGGTCGAGCCCCGAACTATGTTTCACACGCGCCACTCCCAAGAACAACGCGATCTGGCCTGACACTCTATGCAGGCTGCCGTGCTCCGCTGGGCGGGCTCGGAGCGCGCGGCCTGCGCAGAGAGTCATTGCAGTTCTTCGCCGGGCAGAAACAATTAAGGCATATTGAATCGCGCGCGGCATGACAGCGAACACCGAAATGGTTCGAATCAAGGCGGCCACGGGCGATACTTCATTGCCACAAGCCTTCGGTCCAACCTGCTGGGCCCCGCGGAGGCGCTCATGAAAGGCATCCCCCGCCATCGGCCTTCCCGCCCAAGGTGGTTCCAAGAGGGCCTCTGTCGCTGCCAACTCAGACCGGGGTGGCCCCAGCGGGCTTCAAATAGGCTGACGATGCCTCAATGAGAAGGCCCCGCATGACCAACGCAAAATGGCATTGCTATCCCCCAAGGCGCCCCGCACGCACCAACCGAATGCCCCGAGAAGCCCCCCGGGAAGGCGTCGCGGAGCAAACCTCAAAACGGGCCAGGATCCCACATTGCCGGATCTCTTCGGGATTCTTGGGCGACCTTTCCTTCCTGAGGCCCGAGGGGCCCAATATAAACCAAGACAACCCTTAGGAGCTCCCCAGGGGGCGCAAGAGATGCCCCGAGACGGCCGAAGAGAGCCCCCAAACGTCTAATTCTACTCCAAGACGAACCAAAAAGGCTCCGAAAGGCCCAGCAACGGGCAAGCATGATTTCATGTCACATGATCAGGTGCTGGTGCCCTCGCCTTCTCGAACTTTCGAGGCTCCGAGACGATCCAGCCGGGCCCCAATCTCGCCCCGATGCAACCCAGAGAGCACCCGAGAGAGCCCCGAGGGAGGCCCAATCTAACCAGCTCGAACTAAGATTTCGGACCCTTCGCCCCAGGATGGCTTCCGGACTGCAAGCGGCCCCCCAAGAGACGCCGGCCCCAGGAAGCCCATCGGGCGCCCAAAAGAAACCCCAGGAGAGCCCTCAAAAAACCCGCGATAGACCCCCAGAAAAATCCAGAGCGACCTCCAACGAGCTGCCGAAAGGAGAACCACCTAAGGAACCTCTGGCCTACAACCCCGGCGCTGCAGCTCAACGCCCTCAGCAAAAACAAGCTTTCCCTGAATGACACCATACCATGTTTTGTTGCTTTACCACCCAGCAAAACCCAGCGGCGGAAGAGCAGGGGAACGGGGGGGGGGGGCGGGGGGGGAGTTCCGGGCGCGCGGCGCTACCCGGCTGCCTGCGTCGAATGCATCAGGCGCCCCTGGGCGGGCGTCCAAGCGGGCCTGGAGAGCGGCCCGCCGAGCCGCCTCCGCGCCGCCAGCGCGCGACAGCAGCGGGCCCGCGGCCCGCGGCGGCTGCCGGCGCCCAGCCTCCGCAAGGGCGGTTGGCCAGGAGCTCCCAGCCGGGCGCCCAGCACCCGCGGCGCATGCGAGCCACCCACCCCTGCCAAGCGACGCGCGCCCGCCAAGCGCGCCCGGCCAAGTGCGCGCGGGCCGCGGCGGCGGGGCGCGGGCGCGGCGCCGCCGGCAGCGCCCGCCTCGCGGCAGCTGCCGCAACGGCAGCGTCACTGCCCACGCGGGGCTCGCAGATCCGCGCAACTGGCGCGGCGCGCCGGCGTCCGACGCGCGGCGGCGCCTGGCCGCGAGCTGCTGCGGTTGGCCTCGAGCACCGCCAGCTCGATTATTCCTGATTGGACCCGAAGGAAAAGGTTCGGCGCGACTATAATACACGCTGGCACTATCAGGGCCAAGTCGGGCGCGTTGGTTTCGACACATGGAATGGCCCAGGTTGCGCCGCGAGGATCCGTCTTGACTGGGCCATTCGAGGCGCGCGGTTGCTCAGAACCTAATACACATTGGTACTCACCACTTGCATCATATCAGGAACTTGCGGGGCGGCGTGGCCAAAACGGCGCCAACATAATCGGTGCCTTTGGAAGCGGGGCATCTGCTGGCCCGACACATATGTACACCACTAGGATCATACGGATTGCATGTCTAGCATTGGTATCGTTGGTGCCGTCTGGGCATTATCAGCCACATTGGTTGCCGTATGACCCATGTGGTACCAACGCCATCGGTTTCGCTCGAATCCTCCGAAGCTCTAAACGAATGGTGACGGGCCGAAGAACAGTTAGGTACATGTTGGGTGATGCTGATTGTGTAGCGTTTGGATTGACCGACGTTGCACCCGCAAGACCAGTCGACATCTCGGCTGCGATCGAGGCGCATGCCTGGCCGCGAGCCATGCGCGATTTGATGCCACTTAGGTCGCGGGTCATACGTATCGCTTCTCGTTCTGTATAATCCAAAGGTTTCCCCGGGAGGTGATGGTGGCGGATCGCGGCGCGGGCAAGTTCTAGATTGGCGCTAAAGGTTTACCCTTCATGACGAGCCGACACTTCCGAGATCGTTTTCGGGGCCGGTTGGCAGGAGGGGCATTGATGCAATGACCTCGCAGACTTCTCCTCGAAAGCCCCGGGGAAGATTGGCAACCAGCCGCGTCATGAGAGCAAGGTGCGCGATATAGGCAACGCCTAGGGCAAAGGGCCTGGGAAAGGGAACGACCGAGAAAAATGGCAGGGCCAACGCCGATCGGGCGAACAGGGCAGCTCCGCAGATACCGATACCTGGCGCAAGCATGCATATATACAAGTCTGACTGGCAAGCACAATCCTTTGGAAAAGTGGAGGACATCGAATGAAACGTTATTTGTCCATCCGGGGCTCGCGACAGGAATGGCGATGTGGACGTGGGCGGAGGGCGCCGGGTGAACGCGACCCTGGGAGAGCAACCGTGTGGTGGCACCGCTGGGATGATTCGAGCCAGACATGCTGGTGCCGTTCGGAGCGTCCGTTCTCACGATGGGCGGATCTCGACAGTTGACGCGCGGGTGCAAGCACTGCCCTCGACAACGCTTCCAAATGTGCATGCCGCGCGCGGGGCATCAACGCGACGGACTTGCACAGCGCGACGTGCATCTGCACGCAGAGCTAAACGCTGCACGCAGCACGAGGCAAAGTGTAATCACAGGCGGAGACATTGGCGCCCAGCACGACGAAGGGCGGTGAAGATCTCTGTTCCAGGCAATGATTCCACCCATCAGCACGGCGGCGGGGGGCGTGTTAGTCCCAGCCAATGACGCTTCGCATGCGCGGTGCACGTTCGACGTCTTTTCTGGAACTCAACCTGCGCATTGACTACATGCTATGCGATGTTCGGTGGATCCCCCTGTCGCGTTGCCCTGCGCAGAACCTCGACGCGGGCTCTAACCGCCAGGCTCTGCGCGCTGTCTTGTACCATTCTGCGGCCAAACAGCGGGGGCAGACGAATAGGCAACTTCGTCGAAGATGGGGCCCAACGCTCAGGCCAGGCCGCCGCGACGAGAAGTGCGCGGCTCTGGCGGACATAATTAGCCAAACTCTGGCGCGCCACCTGCGGCAGCCGAAGCCGCGCCGCCTCAGATCTGACGATCGACGGCCTCGGCGCGGACGCGCAATTCAAAGTCTGCGCCGGCAGCGGCGCGAGACGACGCGCAAGGGCGAGCGGGCGCAAGTGTCCAAAATTATCAACAATGAACACTGGAAACATACGAAACAAATTCGACGATCTGGCACGATCAATGTTGGAACAATTCGCGGGCATCAAACGCATGTCTCGTCTACGCGTGGGCCCCGCTCAAGATGGCCACCCGTGCCCGATTGCAGCCGACGCTTCCCGTGCGCCCATGCAGGATGCGCTCGGGACTTACAGTGCGCAGCATCGAAGCGTGCGGTTCAGCTCTCACCGCAACGGCATTCCGCGCGACATTCCTGGTTCTTCGCCCGCGGACGTGAGTTGCCCCATGGCGCGACCAGACAGGGCAGGGGTCATTTGGGAGATGTTCTTGCACGGTGGAGGCACCCTGAACGATTCGTTCAGCTCAAGCGCTCGCCTCCACCGAGCGCTCGATGTCTGACGCTCGGAAAGTGCTTTAATTAGGGTCGCGTGAGGCCCCGTCCGGCGCGGGCACGGGCGTGCCCCGCCCCCGTCGAGGGCAAGGGCAGAGCGAACGATCTGAAGCACCGCGCTCGGTGGTGCAGCTGGAGGCCTGGACGCCGACGAATAATCGGCGCGCCTAGGCGACTCGAACAGCAGCAAGCGACGAAGTTCCTCCTCGGCCACTGTGCAGAGAGCGCCCGCAGTGCGAGAGAGGCCCCCCACCTGCTCCGCAGCGAAGTCGCCAGGGATACCGACGTCTCCGCGAGAGAAGGAGGCGGCAGGACCCCCAACAAGCGCACGGGATCGCGGCGCGCGCGAGTAGAAGCGCTGAAGGGGGCAGGCATCGTGGACCCGCGCGGACCGCTCGACGCACAGCGGGTGCACCCCCCTACTGTACAACTTGTTCCAGCCAGTCCCGTTGGCTCGAGCGGGGCCCATGCGCGGCTCGCCTAGGCCGCGAATGCCTGGCCTGCTGGAGAAACCATCGCGTTCCGTGCGCATGAATATATATATATATATATATATATATATATATGTATATATATATATGTATATATATATATACATACAAGTGGCACGTGTGTGCCCAGGCTCATACAAAAAGCTGAGGGGGCGTTTGAAGCAGGAGTGGCATGCAACAGCGAAGTCGCACTCGAGCGCAAGTGGGGTTGCCACACCTTGCGACGTGTGTACCAGGGCCCCCCCAGGAGAAGCCTCAGGAGGCCCAACTTGGATACCAGAAGAGGCTCCAGGAAACCCCAGGATTGTGAGGTTTGTGTGTGTGTGTGATGTGTGCTTCGTGTGGTGCGTGCTTTTTGTGTGTTGTCGGTGTTGTGTGTGTATGTTATGTTTGTCTAGCGTGTGATGTGTTGGGCGTGATTTGTGCATTTGTGTGCGCATGTAGTTCTGAAGCCCCAGAAGGCCCCAGGCGGCCTCAGCAGGCCCAGGAGAACTCCAGGAGGCTCCGAGGCGGGGTCTGGGGTACCAGAAGGTCCAGAAAGCCCCAGGAGGCCCCAGGAGGTTCCAGGAGGCCCCCAGGAGGCTCCGAGGAGGGGTCTGGGACTCGATTTTTGGGAGGATGTCTCAGGCGAAACCGCCATTCTCTGAGAATCGGGGTCAAAATTATTGAAATTACCATGTGTTTTTGAAGGTTTTATGTTAAACTGTTGAAATTCCCATGTGTTGTTGGACCTCTCCTTCACGATCTGCGTGAGGGGCGCCGCCGATTTTCAGAATTTCGAGGATGTCCCTAGCGAAACGGCCAGAAAAATCAAAGACGGACGCACGCACGGACGCATTAATCCCCTCTGAGCTCTACTCCCTCGGAGAGGTGCGCATGAGACTATATATATATATATATATATATATATATATATATATATATATATATATATGATCAGTGTGGCGCCGCGATTGAGATTGAGATGGCCCGGGATGACTTCAGGACGCGCGCAACTTGCCAGTGCTTTCGCATCGACCCGGCCCAGGGCGCCAGTTAGAACGTTTACCTTTCAAGCGATGATCGCACAGCCGCGTTCCTGTCCAGGGCCTCCACTGGCGGCTAGAACAGGGGGGGGGGGGGCAGGGGGGCCGCGACGAGCTCAGCTTTCGAAACGTCCAGGCGATGCCAAAGATGCACCATCCGAGCAACGACAATCGCAGACCGACCCTCCTCGTCCCTGGACCGGAGCGCAGGTCGAGGGAATAGTTCACACCTACATCCGGGATGTCGTTGCCCACCGACCTCCGCCGCTCCCGACTGCCGACGCCGAATTCATCGGCACCCTAGCGAGCCGCCGCTTTCTCGCGAGAGATAGGGAGGGGGAGGTGGGGTAGCGCAGAGGGGAAGCGCCAGCATGCATGCGCTTGCCCGACACACGAGAGATCCTGTGTTCTCTAGCGTGCTCCATCACGTTCTCGCAGTGGGACAGCACGCGCGCGCGGCCGGGGGCGCCAAGCATACGAGATCAGGTGCAAGCTGAGAGCTCAGCACTCTGAGGCGTCTGAGGATATGGGGCCCAGGCAGGAGCGCGAAACTCAGTCATGAGGGAACCTCCCTCGCTGACCACGGATGGCAACGCAGGAAAATTGCTCCGCTGAGCGCCTGAATGGGGCGCGCCATGCGAGGGCCGCCGATATATATATATATATATATATATATATATATATATATAAAGAAGGAAAGACAAAAAAAACAACAAAACAAAAAAAAAAAAAAAAAAAAAAAAAAACAGAAAAAAAAAAAAAAAAAAAAAAAACACGCCCCGCATGGCCGCGGGCGAAAATCCCCTGAGCGCGGGGCCTGATCTTTTTTGCGTCACGCAACCGCAAGACTGCGGTCATTCTTCGTGGCAGAAGTCCACTCCGAGATGCATCCCTCCCCCCCCCTGCCTCTCGGTCTCGGGCGCCACTTAAACGTCGGAATAGTTGGCTTCTGCGCCTCAAATCTCCCAGTGGGGCGGCAACGACTCCAGGGGCGATGTAATATCGCGCCAGGTCTGCCGCGCAGGGGACAGGCGGCGTCGATGAACGTGACATGGCGGAACGCGCGCCCCCTAGTCGGGGAGGCCTCAGTCGCGCGCGCGGGGGCCCTGATCGCCCCGCGAGCAGTGAAGGCTTGATTGCTAAAGACACCTTCATAGTACCATGGCAAGCACGATGCTCACCGCCTCGCTTGCAGCGAAATCTCCCTCAGGCATCCTGAGAAAAGCCCCGTCGCAATGCTTCTCACTGAGAGGGTGGGGGGGGGGCCCGCTGCCGAAGTGGATGGCGCAACGCCTGCTGCCCGTGATAGTCGTGATATTGGGCGCGGCCCAGGCGCGCCGAGAAAGAGGCATCCCGCGGGCCGACAGAGGGCCGGCAACACCTCGCGAAGCACAACAATCAACGCCGAAACGGCATGCCGCGCCCGGCGCAGATCGGGCAACTCAAACGACCAGGCGGGCGCAGAAGCCTGAGCAAGCTCAGCGCCCCTTGGCCCATCTGATGATGGCCGCGCGCGCCAGGCCCCCGCGCGGGTCGCTGTCCTGGGCGGCAGAGGTGGCGCGCGAGCGAGGCTCCGAGAGAGGGCGAACTGGGCCGAAGGGCTTGCGGCGGAAAAGGAAGAGAGCATGGCCCGAGGCCCAAAGTCGCTTCGCTCTCGTAGCTAGCTCGAGCAAGTGGCCCAACATAACAAAACCGAGTCGGCGGCGACTTCCTTGACTTATTCAGTCGACGCAACCTAGGTGCCCACCTTCTGGCCGCCGTGTCACGGCGTTGAGTTTGAGGGATCGCCCCTGCTCTCTGACAGCTCGACCTGCCGCGCATTCGACGCCTAGGTTCTGGGCCGCGGAGGACCGAAAGGAGCACCAATCAGCACGTTGCGCCGAAAACTGCCCCCCCCAAAAAAAAAAACGCACTCCGAAGAGGCAGCGCAGACCGCTTCGTCCATCGCAAAACGACAGCCTCGGACATCCCCGGCAATTTGACGCGGGCCACGGGCGCCCGAAACGAGGCTGCCAATGACGGTCTTGGCAGGACCATTGCAACCCTTTGATCGCCAATAAAAGCATTGAGGTCAAGGTGGAGCTGGGGGGCAAGGCGATCATGGCCTTCCACGTCGCAAACCCGGCTGAAGGTCGCGGCAAACGAACATCCTGCAATGACTCCTCGGCAAACATGGCAGGGGCCCTCGATGGCCCCCAGGCGCAGAAACACGCCCGCCGCGCTAGGCGAACCAAGCCAAGCGCGAGAGAGAGATAGCGGAACGCAGCAGCGATGACACGGGGCCGCTACGGCACCCATGGACATCTTCTCGCAGAACTACCCCGCATCAAACACGACAAAGGAAAAACGCAGGGCAGTCGCAAAGACAGGCGCGTCCTCGGCCGCCTGTCTCCACGCTGCGTCGGCTGCCCCTGCGCCGCCACGTGGTCGCGTGGCCCAGAGGATGGGCCGCCCGAGGCGGCCCTGGGCCCCACGCCATGAGCAGAACGCTCCAATCGGCCTGCAGCTACAACGGCGCTTAGCGAGCAACGCAAGCAAAGATACCGATATCAACGGAGGAAGACTTCCCAGGGACCCGACGAGGGGAATGGCCGTGCTGGAACTGGCGAGAGTCTGGCCATGCAAGAACGAAAAGTGGCGAGACTGGAGAAACTCCAAGGAGACGGCCGAATCGCTTCGCACTTCTGCGAAGCAGAGCGGATGTCCTCCACGGACAGACGAGGTGGGGCTTCGAGGATGGCACCCAGGAGTTTCGCGCAATCTCCCCGGACTCCCCTACCCTGAAGCGCAACGAACCGATCCCTCTCCAGCGCAAGCAACAAAAGAGGCCCGAGACAGCGCAGCCCCTGGCACTGAGTGGAAGCGGGGGTCCACAGACCAGGGCCCCCGATGCTCTGGCGCGCCCCCCTGCGCCAGCATCGACGCCGACGCGCAGACATGCTGCCCAATCTGATCGAGGCTGCGGCGCAATGAACTCGGAGGTCAGCCGAAACCCCTCGCGAACCTCAGTCTCGCAAACCACTGCGGCGGGGGCCGACTGGTCCGCGGCGCGGGCCGGCTGCGCAGCATGAGCAAAGAAAGAAACTCGAGCTCCAGCGCGCATGGCAATGCGCGCCGGCAGGCCCGCGGACAGTTTGACCAGCTGCGGCGGCATGCTTGGATCGCCCGCCAGCCTAGAAAGCGCAAGCCCGCCACTGAGCGGCAAGCGAGGCAATCGAACTGGGCCCTCGGCAACAGGCGCGCCCTCCCCCCGGAAATTATGGAGCGCCAGACCAGCAAATGCCCCGGCCCCCGAGCGCCCGCCTTAGTTCCCGCAACTCTCGACACTGGAACAATGTCCTTTCTTCCGCGCGGTCCGCAAGCGCCCGGCGCAGAGGCCCCCCCTTTCCGCGCCTGAAGCCTCGACGGCCGAGCCCAGCCCGCGGGCCCGCAAGCCGCAAGCCCCCCCAGGGACGGGCTTCGAAACCAAACCCGGGAGGGGGGAGGGGGGCTCGCCAAAAGACGCGGCCCTCAGGATTGCCAGCTGAAGGGGCGAAGGCGATGCAAACAGTGCCATGAGGGGAAGGGGGCGCTGACCAATCAACTGTGCGCTCTCGAGCGCCCGCGGCCGCTCTCCCAGAGCGCGCGCTGCCATCGAAGGTAGAGGCCTTGCCGGCGGGGGAATGAATGCAAGACGACGGCGCCATGGTCGCGCCCCTCGGCTCGCTCGCGATATCGGATTCCTCGAGGAGCGGCGGCTCAAAGCTGCAGCCCGCCCCAGCAACAGAAGGAAGCGCAAACTGCGGGACAGCAAAGCCAAAGTGCGAGAGAATGCTGCGATTGCGACGAGACAAACAATTCCGACCGATATAGGAAAGAAAAGGCAGCGACCGTTGGAGGGCACCCACGGGAATCAATGCTGCCAGCGAGACGCGGACTGGGAGCAACCCCCCCTACCTTCAGATCATGAAGACCGAGCCGAGATGAAACCATAATCGCGACTCCCGCCGAACTGCCCCCGGCACCCTCCAAAGAAGAACCAGGCCACAAAGTTCAGCCTCTCCTGCGGCCCAAACTACATGCGGCATCGCCATCGACGCCTCGCAGGCGACGCCCCCGGCGCAAGATGCCAGGGGCGCCTGGGGGGCCTCCCGAGAGATCCTCATCGCGCCCCAGGAATGAAAACTGACGGCCCCGATGTCGAACCCAACTATGTTCGGATCAGAGCGCGGCCCCGCGCCAGAAACACCGCTCACATCAAACGCCGCCGCCGCCGCGCCAGGGAGGGCGCGGGCATCCGAGCTGACGCGCTCGGCGTCCCGACGCCATCGATTCCTGAATCCAGCAAAAAGATCGGACGGAGAAACGCTGCCAAACTGACGAGCCATCGCAGCGAAATTGGAGCCAGGCTCGGCTGGCGGCAGCTCAAACCACGTCACCGAAAGAACACCCGCGCCGCGAGCCCCGTCTCTCAGCGAAAGAGGGTAGACCGGAACAAGGCGCGAACAATCAATCGGGGCGCAGGCGACCTTCCGTCTAGGCCTGCCGCGCTCGGACCACGCTCCAGCTCCAAGCAGCAGAGGGGAGGGGGGAGAGAGGGCGGGGCAGCATTAGCGCGGGCAACGGGCAGGGACCATCGCATCCGCGGCGTCAAAGCCGAGGCCCGAACTCCAGAATCTGTCAGCGCCCCCAAAAAACATCGGAAGACCTTGGCGATGCCTGGGCCGAGCTGGAGCTGAGCTTTTGAGCAGGGTTCGGAGAACGCAGACTTCGGGGCAAAAACCGCTCGGGCGCCGCGCTGGAAAAGATCCCTGGCCGCAGCGCCCCGAGAACCCGCTTTGCGCAGCCTGGCAATGATGCGCTCAGAGGCCCCCGGGTGGCGGCGGGGTGGGGTGGGGGGGGGCATCGCAACGCAGCGCCGCGGGCCGCGCGCTCGCGGACGCGCGACTCGGCCAGCGACGCAGCGGGCGGGGCGCGGTCTGCATCTGCATCGCCATGCCCGCCCGCCACCGCCACGTGAGCATCAACTACGGCAGGGGCAGCGGCCCTTCGACTAGCTTCAGCTGCATGCCCTTCTCCGCTGGCGTCGCGCATTCGCCCCATTGCTGCCGGCCTCTCGAAGTGGACCTCGCGCTCTGCCCGCGGGGCGTCGCCCTTGGACCCCCCGGCCTCGACGAGGTTGCCGGCCGTGCCCACGACGCCCTCGCGTATATGAAGAGCTCCGGCATCCAGCTCGGCAGCGCCCTCAGCGCCGCGCTCGAAGTTCATCTCGTCAATCTCGACGATGCCAAAGCCGACGGTTGGCCAACGGGTCAACTGCGCAGACAGCTCATTGGCGCCCAGGATGTCCCCATGAGAGAGCTCGGCCCGGGAAGGGCTGCCTCGGCGTCGGCGCCGGGGACCTTGGGACTTGCTTGGGCTGAGAATGCAATTTGCGCACCAGAGAGCGATGTCCCTGCTCGGCCTGCCCCAGCTCAGACCTGCGGCCGGCGACGCGCGCCCTCCGAGCGTCAAGCTGCGCTGCGCGGCCTCGAACTTGAGGGCGGCGCCGTCCAATGCATCATCCGCCTGGCGAACCTAGGCGCGGCGTTGAGGCGGGCGGGCCCGGGCGCCGGCAGAGCGAGGGGCGCGGGGCGCCCGAGCCGCCGCGCGGACGGAATGAGCAGCCTTGAATTTGCCGATCTGAGAGGCCAGCTGCTGGCGCTCGCCAGCCGAGAATCTAAACTTCGGCGGAGTTCCCCCCGCGCGAGGCCCGGCCCCTCCTCCAGCGGGAGCAAGAACTCCCCCTCCAAGCCTGAAAGCAAACTTCCGCGCCGGATCCATGGAACCACAAGCGCGGGCCGAGTCTTGGCGATGCTGCCAAAGTCTGGAGATCGACGGGAGACAGCGATTTGGCGCCCAGTTGCCACGCTGCGACCAAAGTAAACTTGCAAAACCATCTCGGACAAAATATTCGAGACTGCGGCCTTATCCCGACGCCGAACAGCCAGCGGACCAAGTCCGTTGCAGGTCGAAGCGGCCCGTAGATAAACCATTTGACGTGCTGCAAGAAATGTGCTCCACATGTTGGGAGTGGGCTCAGACGACGTGGGTGGCCCGCAGCGACCGTGCCGAAACCGTCGATCGCATCGGTGGCCGCTCGCTATTCGATGCGCTGGGCTGGAAAGGTGCCCCCGAGCCATGTCTGCGGCTTCCCTCCAACATCTGCGACCAACAGATGGCGTGGCCAGCGGCGGTGGGCCTTTCGACATCGCGCGCAGGGTGACACAAACAGATGACATGTCATCGATCGTATTCAATTCGAGGCTTGACGGCGCGATCCGGCGAAGGTGTGGGGGTGGGGGGGCGGAGACATTGAGCCACATGCGTCGCGCGGATAACATTCTGTAGTAAAGGAACTCAGCTGATGAGTGCGCAGCGATGCTGCGCACGCTGATTGACGACCTTTCCGTTCGTGGTCTGTCGTTGAACTCGATCAAGACACAAGTCTTCACCAATGACCTCGTCAGTGCCTGCGCGGAACAGCCAGCGCCATTCGACTTCGACTGGCACGACCTGCTTGCGGTGCTCGCGCGAGACTGTCACAAGTACCTCGGCAAGAAACCGAATGATAATATGAAAGGCGCGGTCCCTGTGCAACGTCGGGTGCAGCTTGAAATGTGCATGGGGCAACGATCATGCAAAAGGCATGAATCCTTGAACATATTAGTATCGTTGAAGTTATCGCTTACGCTGTTCAGCGCGATGCCCACGCCAACCGCAGTCTTTGGCCTCGCTGCTACTGCCCCCGCTTAGCAGCAGCCCGGAGAGAGCAACAGTGCCGGTTTCAACAGAGTTCCAGCACGGGTCGTGAGAGGACGCCGGCAGGCAGTGCGGAGGCACGGTGGCGGATGGGGCGAAGGACGCTCGATCCGCCGCCCCTTGCGCCTGCCACAGGGGTGCACGGCATGCTAAAGCGTTGCGTAGACTGGCCCTTCTGAAAGGTTCCCCGTGGGGTCTCGGCCGATCCCGCCAGCCACCCAGGAAGACCTCAACGTCCACAAAACAAATCCCCCGCAGACGGCCACGATGGCCAAACATGGCCTCGAGGGCGGTTTCTGGACGCCTCCAGAACGCCCGCGAGAGCCCCAAATTATCATGCGGCCCACGACGTCCCCAAGCTGCCCCCGGAGGGCTCCAAGAGGACCCTCAGGAGAGCTTTCAATTGCCATTGGAAACCAATCCCTGCTCGGCCCGCCTTCTCCACACCTCCCGCCTCGGATCCAGAAAGCTGTTGATTGTCCTTTTTTGGGGGTTGTTTCACAAATTGTTATGTTTGTTTTTGTCATGTCACAAGTTTCTTGACGCAACATTTAGGAAGCCGGTGGCGTTCACTGAAAGACCAATCAATGCCAACGGGAAACCAAGAGGCCCTGTGACTCTCTCGGAAAAAAAAAAACACAAAAAGCGTCACGCGAAGGAAATGGCCCTCAACTCCTCCACCCCTTTCTCTCGCTCGGTTGGAATCGAACTGAATCACCATGAAGCAATAAGAATCTACCGGAATCAATACGAACCAACAAAAACTACAAATTAACAGGACTCACTGGAAGTCAGTACATTCAACAATGATCAACAACAACCAATAAGAATCACGAGGGATTCGTATGAACAACACGGACAACTTGTGATCAAAATGAGGCAATCGGAATCGATGGAAATCAATAACAATAACCATTTCCTTTCGCCAACAGCGAATACTATTCAGAATGAGCAGGCGGTCTTCGTACACGTTCTCCCCGTACGCATGTCATTCGTGCCGATCAACGGGGGGGGGGCGATGAGGAGGGGGCGAGGAAACGCGCACCGTTTGTGCACCTCTTTTTGGGCCCCCGGGGGCCCCTGCAGGGCCCCAAAGGCGCGCCCTTCATTAACCCATCCCGTTCACCGCCACCCATTACGCAACGCGTGTATTTCCTGGGTCCACGGGACCTGGATCACCAGAACAATGAGGGAGAGCGGAAGACGCGCTCCAAGGCGTCGTCCACGATGGAGACGAGATGACGACGGAGATGATGATGATGAAGGCGGTAGGAAAATGGAGGAGCGAAACGGGAAGCGAGGAAGAGAACGGGTAGAAGAAGGAATGTCAGTGGATGGGGAATGGCGAGAGACTCCAGTAGATGGGGGAAGAAAAAACACAATTGGAAATAGGGAAAGAGAGGACACAATTGGAAACATCGGAATAGAATGTAGGTGGCGGAGCACCCCCCATCACGCTCAGCTTCCCCTGAGTCGCACTCACTTTATGATGCAGTGCGCTACCGCGTCGAATTGCAAGGGGCAAGCGACGAAGATGGAGTGGCACTGAACGCATCTGAGGGAAGACTGCATGCAACTGAAGAGAACCTCGCCAATGCAACTGCAGGGGAGATGAATGTAATCGCGCCAGCCATCTGGGCGCAGGTGGTCGAGAACGTTCCAACTTCCAACTTCCCTATTTCCAAATCCCCTTTTGTTTACGACAAACCCTCAAATCATCAAAAAACACACGATTCATACATTCTCTCAGCGGCGTCAGCCCGGGCGGAAAATTCGAGACCACTCAGGGCTGCCAGTCGCGGCAGTATCCTTGGCCATACGTTGCAGCGGTCGTTGGAAACCTTTGACAGACCTGGCGAGCACCACGATGCCAGGCAAGCGGTTCAATATAGCAATCAGACCATAGATTGACCGATGGAGCATTCGAGGATGGCCGGGTTGGAGAGGTTCGTGCAACGCCTTGCTGTTCAAACGCGGATACGATGAGAAACCGTACCTTGCAAGTTGGCCTCTGAACGGCTCAAAGAGAGGAGCCAACGATGGCGGCGCTTCCCCATGAGCAACCTTGTATAGAAGACCAAGCATTGCACTGTCACGCCGCAACCCCAGTGGGCCCAGATTGTGTTCAAGTAGTGCTTTCTTGGGTGTCAAGCCCGCGCATTCCAGAAATGTGTCTTGCAGCCCGTCGAGATGGCGGAGAGTGGCTTCAGCAGCATGGTAAATTGCCGGGGTAGCGCCCTCAATGTACGACAGCACGTGGCACTTGTACAATCGAACCAGCTCAGCAGTGGAGTAACACCGCTTTGTTCGAAGTAGCGCCTGGAGCCTCCAGGAGCCTTCTGCCACGAAGTGGGACACCGCCTTGTGCATGCTCAATCTGGTGTCGAACAGCACGCCGAGCATCTTGAGCGTTCCGCCGTCTGGCGAGATGGTGTCCAAAATATGGAAGCTTTCCTTGTCCGGCTCGAAGAGAACCTGGTTGGCAGCCCCCCACCTGTGGAGAGCTGCCTGGCATGCGGCCGAATCGCGGTTGATGCCTGCATTGCCACACGCTCCGGGGTAAGTGCGCCAGCAATTGAGGTCATTTGCGAAAGCGGTCTCAACGAATCCCGTGGCATTGATTGCTGCGCGAGCGTCAGAATAATATATGTTCCAAAGTGGAGGTCCGAGCGCGGTCCCTTGATACACTTGATTCTGCATCTCCAGGTCCCCGGCGAAAGAACCGTCGACGCAGACTTTGGCGATCCGGGAATCCAACCAAGACTTGATAACCTTCAGAAGGGCATCGCAGACGCCACGTGCTTCTAGCTTCTCCACCAAACGACGGGCGTTTACCCGGTAGAAGACTGCATAGACGTCGGAACAGTAGAGAGCAACCCGCCGGCCAGAGCCAAGAGCCCAAATCCATTGGAAGACGTTGAAGGCCAGAGCGTCCCTGTAACCCCTGTTCCTGTGGTACGCGAACTGGCTGTTCCCGTACGAGCCAGACTCCTCGAAGAATGGAAGCATGAATCGAGCGAGAATTCGTTCAACATCTTTGGACACATTGGATGTTAGGTGTATTCCCCTGTAGTTCGCGGGTTTGGACTTGGTGCCGCGCTTGAATAGCGGAAATAACCCATGGATTTTCCAACAAGACGGCCAAGTTCCAGATGATAAGACAAGCCGGGTCAGCATTCCCAGCGGAACAGACAATGGACGCCAACATCGCTTCAATATCTTTGCCGGCACACCATCAGGGCCGGTGCCACAATTCTCCTGGAGCCCCTTGAGGACAGCTTTCGCCCAGCGTGCGCGTACAGGCAGGAAGCCGGACATCCTCTGACCCGCAGGGCCCTGTATCGCAGAATACTAGTTTGGAACGGGCTCTGGCAAACCGTACTTCGAGGAAAAACTCGTTCGAAATAGATCGGCCTTGCCGGATGCTGTGGAAGCCCACTCGCCGTCGGGACCAAGCAGGGGAGGTATGGAAGAGACCTGGCCAGCTCGTAACATCAACGAGTTGCACAATGTCCACCACCTCTTGGACGACGAACTCAAGGACAGAATCTTATGCCTCACCCGGCGCGTGTACTTAGAGTGCTCTTCCAACAAGCCCTGCGAGCAAGCTTTAGCGGCATAGTCAAAATCACGAGTACCAGATGCACGAACTTCCCCTTCCACTGAGTCTAGCCGCGGGGAGGGGTGACGGACCTACTGGAGCGTTCGAGATGGCCTAAGGTGGCTCCAAAAGGGCCCCCGACGCCCCAAGATGGCCTCCAAGATGGCAAAGTAGACTTCAACATGGTCCAAGGTAATCTCCAACATGCCTCCAAGACATCCTAAGAAAGCCCCAAGACGGCGTGCCTCTCGAGCCTTCCCAGGCACCTCCTCAAGAGGCCAACGTCCTTCAGAAACCAACGGGAAACGTTTCGCCGGTTCACTTCCGATGGGTGTATGAGGCCTCCGCATGGTCCCGAGATGGCCCGAGACAGTCCCAAGAGGAGCCCAAGATCCTCAACATGGACCCAAGAGCGCCCAAACGGCGCCAATAGCGTTACAGGAGGGCCCCAAGAGGCAATTGGTCAACCTCCGAGGGGGGGACCAGAATTATGAAGGGGCCATGGGACACACTGATAAATACACGCAAGTTACAGGATTCCCATCATTGTCTTGTATTTCTGGGTTTTTGTCTTCCCCCCCACTTCCCGTAGTTTCCCACATTTTCCTCGGGATTGACGATTGATTGTGTCTGTTTTTTTCCCCTCCTGCAATCAACCCCTCTTCTTGAGCGATATGGCCCGAGATCGCCCCGAGAAGGGCGCCGAGAGCCTCGCAAAGGGTCCCGAGGACGACCCCAAGAAGGCCTCCAAGGCCTCCCACACTGCGCGAAGATTGCGACAACAGGCCGGCAGAGAGGCCTCCAAGAGGCTTGCGGAACGAAACCTCCGCGAAGGCTTCTTGGTTTGACTCGTCGTTGTCGTCGTCGCCGTCTTCCACTAGCCTGGGCGTCGGATCTGGATGGGCTAGTGGGAGTAGGCGAGGCGTCTCGAGTTGAAGGGAATCTGTGTAACCGAGGGCAAGCGAATGCAACTGACAAATGACACAACTGAGAGAATCTGGATGTCACTGGGGCACACTGAACGTGACTGCAGAGAAACTCTGCGTAACAGGAGGGAGCCTGACTGCGACTGAGTGTTCTCAAAGGTGACAGCGGGCGCTTGCCGACGCCACGCGCAGCCAGAACGCCAAGACGCTTGGAAACCTTATTGATTCTCGAACCTCGACCCTCGATCCTCATCGACGACCGCCACCGGCGCCAAGGCGGGGCGCGGCTGGCCGCTGATCTCGAGCTGCGTCGCGAGGCCGACGCGCAGGGAACCCTCCAAGAGGCCGATGTGGTAGGCCTCTGCCAGGAGGGAGGCAATCGGTTCTGCAAGGACTCGAGACCATGGAGTCAGATGTTTCCCGGTGGGTTCGGCGTCTGGAGGCCGCTCGTGGTAGGCCCTGGGAGAATCAAACAGACGATTCAGAATGAGAATGCTGTCCTGGACAAGACTTTGAGAGCTCCGAGGGTCCGAGACTTGAAATGGTCGGGCCGCCGGATTTCAGGGTTGAAACGGCCACGCGCCGTCCTCCCGGAGCAAACCACGATGAATTTGCGTCGTGAAGACTTGCGCATTGGCTTCTGACACCGCGTGGTTCGCTCAGCCGTGAACGATCGCGCCTTTCAGACAACGCGGATCGTTCGATATCGGCCAATTCTGCTCCTCCGGCGGCGTTCGATCTTTAACGCCCGCGCTGGGTTCGCAACGGCGTGAAGGGGACGCGAACCGACGGTTGGCGATGCAAAGATGGCGTGGAACATTGATCTCCGCAACGCACGCCATCCCTGTGAGGCGATCCCCCCGCGAGGGCCCCTCTTCGCACGCCAGTCCCCTGCCCAGGTGTCTTCGGTGCCACACTCACTACCTACCAGACCACCCCAAACCAACCCGAAGACCCGAATTTCGGGTTGGGGGGGGTACGGGTCCCATGTGCTTTCTCAATGCTCCCCGACCCCCCCCCCTCCCCTGGAAATGGAGGGCAAATTCAGGCCTTCGGGTTGGGCTGGGGTGGTGTGGTGGGTGGCGACGCCCTATCCCCAAGGTGGGGGATATCGTGTCATAAGCGGGCCGGCGGCGCCACATCGCACGCCATCTCTGCAATGCCACCCCACTTTTTCGGCACCGTATGCCCTCGTGAGGCGTCCTCTCAGGGGCCACGGCTACAGCCACAGTTTGCGCGAGGACCCGGCCCTCTGGACGTCCTGAGGTGGGCTCTGAAGACCCCTCTACACGGCACGTGTGTTCGAAGGGTAGGCTGGGCGATTCGAATGGGGATATGGGGGGCGAGAGGGGAGGGAAGAGGGGGCAGGCATCTCCTCAATCGACAAGCACTTGCACAGGTTTGCAGCAGTACCGGGCCCTGGGTGAAGCTGGGAGCAAGGGGCATCGTTCTGCCCTTTCCTTGTGCGTCTCGCCAGCGCCGTCGTCTTCTTCCTCCATCCTCATCCTCCACCCTCCCCCCCTCCGTCCCCTCTCCCTCCATCTCCCCCTCTTCTCCAGCGACTGCGACCTTCGCCCCGCATTCCCTCACCTACGCAATCGCGGGCCTTGAGCTTGGTGTTGAAGGTAGGCTGGATGGTGAGCGGCGTACCACCCAAGTTGAGCTTCAGCGGCGTGATGAACATGTGCTCCAGCGGAGACCTCGGCGCGACTCTTCCCTCTGGGTCCACATCTGGGCCGTGCGCGCGCCGCCTCACCCAGGCAAACAAAGCAGGCGCGCGCATCCTACGACCCGCGTGCAGTCCTAGGCGGGAAGGCGGCGGCAACAGGGGAGGACGAACACAGGCAGAGAGCGGGTACTCTAGGACGACGGCCAAGATAAGAGAACATTGGGAAATGATTCGAACAATCCGTCGACCTTGTCGGCGTGGTTGGGGGAGGCATGGGTGTGGCTGTCCAGGGTTTGTCCTGGGAGGCGCTCTTCCATTCGAAGCTCTCCACCCCTCTCCCTGCGGCCACACAGGGCTCTCCAAGCTGGCTAGCCTGAAGTGAATCGATCCAATCGCTCTCGACTCGAGGAAAAGACCACTTCCTTTTGATCCCTTCCCTTCCCGCCGAAGGATAACGTCATAGCAAAATACACTTCCGGCCCACCCCCGTCCCTAGAGGGACTCGGGTGACCTTGGGGCCAGATTGGCTATCTTCGGGCCACCCAGGTCCGTTAGAGCCCTCTCGGAGCCGACCCCGGCACGCTTAGGAGTCTCGCGGGCCGTCGTGGAGGTCTCAGGGGCCGGCCCAAGAGGCCCAGGTCGGATCCCTCAAGTTGTTGTCTGGGATTCGAGCTCTGGGGTCAGACATCGACCACCACACCAACTCCTGGGATGCGCTTTGGCCAGAATTCGTCAGGCGGACCCAGCCGTGGCCGCGAGGAGCCACCCCCCCGATGCCCCCCAGGCTGCAACAAGCCTATGCTTAGAGAGCACGCGAAGCTCGAAGCTCGGGGGGGGGGGGCACGGAACGCATTCGCGCGCACCTTTCTGCGCGGCGGAGTGCGGCGCACCAGGCAACACCGCCTCCGCTTGCCGCCGGACGCGCTGAACTGCTGCTCGTCCTCCGAGCCCGCGCTCTCCGGTGGCCTCGCAAGGCTTCGGCGGCGCTCCGGGATGGTTTCGAGGATCGTGGATCGAGGTCCGATATTGGTGTCTCATGTGCACTTGGGTTTTTACTGGGGATCCAGGGGCGCCCTCGTCGCCACTGCTGGAACAGCCTCGAAGTCTCCGTGAGACCGCATCTCGGGTCATGTCCAGGGGGAGGGGGTTTCTGAGGGAGAGGGAGCCGACACCTCCATGGCACGCAAGACTCGGTCCCACAGGTTTTGCCTGAGGCTCGATTCGGGTCCACTGTCATCAAAAGACCTACCTTGGCCGAAAAATGGGTCCCCTGACTGGGTGAGGTCCTGGGGCCATCGTCACGAACAAATCCCCCCCCCCTCCCCCATCCTCTCATCGCCGGCCTCCTCATCCTCGTCCACTCTCCTTCCCCGCTTCCCCCTCCCCTTTCCACCCCTTCTCCTCCGCAACCCTCGTCTCCCCGCCCCAACCAACTCCCCTCTTTTCGCCCCCTTCTCATCCCCGTTTTCCTTTTCTTACTCCCCGTCTTCCTTTATCGTCAACCTCGAGCCTCCCTCCGAATACATACGTATACCCAGACCTCAAACGACTCGATGTCTTCAGGTCGCTGACCCCTGAATGTCTCGACCCCGTCCGAAAGGCTGTCCTTCATGACGGCTCGTGTCTTGATGGCCCAGGAGGCTCCCGAAACTGCTACCAATCCCCAAGCAACTCTCACGCGAGGAGGGAGCCGGGAGGGGAACTGGAGGGCGCGTGCCCTTGCTGGGCCTCACGGAAAGCTCCGGTGACGACGCTGGGATCGCCTCGAAATCCTAGTCGGAGCGCGCTGCAGAACATGTCCGAAGAGATGTGCTTCCGGGGGTTGTGGAAGAAGAGCGGGACGGAGAACGGAGGAAAAGGAGGGACAAGGACGGGCCAGTTCTCGGGGCGTCCCTGGAAGCGTTTCAAGTTTCCTCGAAAGTGTTCGGGGCGCCCTGGGACGATCTGTCGAAGGCTGCAGCGCTACCACGCAACGCCCTCAGACAATACGTTCAGCGGTTTCTGTTCGTTCTGATTACACAACGTTTTTTTTGGGGGGGGGTCGGACGTCAGTGGGGGCATTTGGGGATCCATGAATGATTAACGGGATCATGGGAGGTCGGGGGAAACGGTGAGGCCGATCCCCGAACACATCCCCCCCCACTCGCCTGACCGTCTTCCGTTCCCGTACCACCACCTCAGGAAAGCCGTGCCCGCTTCATTACCACGGTCCGTACCGACGGGGGCGTGCAACTTGTACAAATTCCTTGCGGTTGGCCTGGTCAAGTCATTGGAATTCATATTCTGGTGCACCCAAGCCGTTGGCGATCGTCGTCGATACATCACTGATCATCACCGATTGATTGGCGATAAACCCCCGGTAGCGAATCCGCGCGTTCACGGGCACGGGCGGGGTGGGGCCACTGTCCGCTTTTGGTAACAGATATTTGGGGAGCCGTGCGTTTAAAACATAGTTCCCCTGTTCGGGCGAATGGCGGGGTGGTGCCGGCCAGATTGAAAGTCAACGGCGGCAGCGCCAATGCCGGTGACTAGCGAAACCCAACCGCCAGCGGGAACGCGACAGACAGCACCGACTGGGGGAGGGGAACGGAGGGGGGCGGGAGGCAAAAACGGCAGAACCAAGGACTGTGAGCCACGGCGATACCTGTTCGAAATGAATAAAAACTGTTGTCGGCACTCGCCCCCGCACTTTCCGTGCTCTTTTCTGTCGGACCGATGCGCTTCTTTCGCCCTGGCCGCAGCCTGGGGGGGGGGGGCGCCAGCTGCCTCCCGGGCCCGCGAGCAAGGCGGGCTGGACGAAAGGGGGGCGTGGCCAAGAAAGGCTTTGCCCAGCAGCTCGCACGGCTGACATTCCGAGCGCCTCCTTGCGCCGAAAGCGGCCATGCGCCGAGAACTGGCCCCGCGGCGGGGCGACCGAAACCAGCTGCGCGCAGCAAGTTTCGCAGCGCCTCCTTTCCTTCCCCAGCCTATCGTCCGACCCGAGCAAGACGGGCAGTCCTCCTCCCCCCCTGTCGTGGTCTTCGTACCCGTCGACGACGGCGACAACAACGACAACGACAACGACGACGACGACGACGACGACGAGGTCGATGTCGAGGACGAAAACGAGAAGGATGAGGACGACGACGACGGACGGCGGACGGCGGACGGCGACAGTGGCGACGACAACGACGCACTGCGGATGTCCTATTGGCGGGGGGGGAAGGTGCGCAGGCCCGGTGTAGTCGACGACAACGACAACGACGACGACGACGACGACGGCGTCGGCGGCGACGGCGGCGACGATGACGACTCGACGACGTGCTGCGGATGCCTACGGGGGAGAGTCTGCGCAAACCCGGCGTGCTCGACGACGACGACGACGATGACAACGACGACGACGACGAACACGACAACGACGACGACGACGCTGACGACGACGACAGGGACGACGAAGAAAACGACGAGGACGGCGACGACGACGCCTAAGAGGTGGAACGAATTCGCCTCGGCAGTGTACGACCCCTATGACAACTTCTACACGAAAGGCAATCGTAATGAGGCTGTCGTGCAGGGAGGCACACGATCCCCTCGGCGGCGCCAGCGACGACCCCCTTGCGCGCGTGATGAAATAATGTTTCGCGCCCCGAGGGGTCTAGTCTTCAACCCAGGGGAATGTTAAGGCCCAGTAAGACGACCGGCGTGCTGACCCCCCCCCCCTTCGCGACAAGAGGTGCGTCGCGCAATCGTCGCCCGTGCGCCGGCCGCCGAAAAGGCCAGCCGTCCTCTCGAATGCTCACGTTGCCCTCGCAAGGGGGCATTTTGGTAAATGCGTCACCAGCGCGGCGGGCACCCACGGGGCGGATCGCACGCGCGTCGCCCGCTCCACGGCCGCTGAAAAGGCCGGTCGCCTTGGGGAAAAAGAAGGTCGCCCGCGCTGCGGCCTTCTTGGCGAGGAGAAGGCGGCCGCTGGGCTACCTCGGCAGATCAGCAAATCCCTCTAACATTACAAATGCCACGGCGCTGCTGAACGCACCCCGGAGCTAGACCAGCAGGTCCCCGCAGCCGCCGCCACAGCCGCCGCGACCGCCGCCAGCGTCAAAACTACCACCGCCACAATCACCACAAACGGATGCGACCGCAACCACATCCACCGCGAGGATTACGACCAACACCATTTACCGCCATCACCACCACCACGACCGCCACGCTTCTCGCGACGACCACAACGACCGACACCAGCACGATGACCGACGTGACTACCACCAGCCCGCCCGCCACCAGCGGCACGACCACCACCAGCGCGACCAAGGCGCCGAACGCGACCACGACCATGATCACCAACATGACCATTACAGAAGCACCCGCCCACCCCGTCCTCCCCCCTCTCCCCCCCATTCCCCTGCCGGGCCGCCCTTGCCGCCGCGCCCGCCTCGCGCCCCTGACCTTCCCCCTCCTCTTCTTCGTAAGATTCCTCTTCCACCGCCTTCGGCGGGGCCATTCGCGGAAGGCGGGGGCGCCGCTCGCGGCGACGCGCCGCGGCCGCGGAAGGGGGGCCGCAGGAGAAGAATACAATGATGAGGGACATGGGGTGGCAAAAAACAAAAAAAACAAATGCGAGAGAGGAGGGAGGAGGGACACACAGAGGGAGGCCGGGAGTAAGGAGGAGGAACAAAAAGGGAGGAGAGAGGGAGACGAGGCAGGAGGAAGAGGACGAAGAAGGAGGAATGACGAAAGAGGAGGGACGACGAGGAAGGAAAAAGGGAAGAAACAGGGGCAAACACCGCGTGGCGCAATGGAGGGCGCAGCCGCCGCCACTTGTGAACAGCGCAAGCACGGCGGGCCGACGGCCGCTGCGCATTGTTGTTCGGAGACATGCTTGGGGCGGGCAAAGTCGCGACTGCGTCGCGCGTGCGTCGCGTTTGCTTCCCGCTTGCTTCGCGCGCGTCGCGCGTGCGTCGCGCGTGCGTCGAGCGGGTCGTTCGTGCGTCGCGCGCTGGCAGGGGTGCGTCGCGCACGGGTTGGGATTCGTCGCGCGCGCGTCGCGCGTGCGTCGCGCGCGCGCGTCGCGCGAGCGCCGCTCGGGTCGTTCGCGCGTCGCGCGCAGGTCGCGCGCGAATCGCTCGAAGGGCGCCGTGGACTTCTGACGGCATGTGAACTGCACGGCCCGCTGGCGAAACAATCGAGGGATGCGCGCGACAATCGTAGAAGTATCGAGACACGCGCGGGGGAACTACGAACGCGAGGAGACCAATAGACGACATGGGGACGCAGCGCGTACGGACTAATCCATTTCAAGCGCACGCCGCGTCAGAATTTGAACATCGGTTCGTCGCTGCAGCAATTTGGCGACGTCTCGCCCGCCGATCCGATGCGTCGGGGGGAAAAAGAGGAGGGAGGGAAGTGAGGCGAGGGAAGGGCGGGCGGAAAAGGGGACGGACGGGCGGGGAGGGGGCGTGCGGGGGCGCCGCAGCGGCGGCGGGAGCGATGGAAGGCAATCGAAGGGGAGCGGCGGGGGCGAGGAGGGCGAGAAGGAAGTTCCAGGAGGGTGGATGGACAATGGGGGGTGAGTAGGGAAAAGGGACAGGACGGCAGCCTGACACAAAAAAACACATGCAATTTTCGTAAACGGGACAAAAACGCGCAGCGCGTTGGACGAGGGGAAGAGGAAGGAAGAGGGGGGGGGAGGAGGATTGGCGCGAAACGACGCGGGGGTTCGGGGCGCGATGCGACGGGGCGAAGTGGCGCCGCGTCGCGCGACGTGACGTCACCCCCACCGTGGCGCGACACGCACAGACCCCAATCAACGCGAGGCGTCTTCGTCCTCAGCAACGGTTAGCGCCCCCGAAAATGCGCACCAGCAAATCCTCATGCGTCGAATTGGAAACAGAACGCGTTGGTGGACAGTCGAACTAGAGTGCGCCACGACCGCCAAAATTGCTGCTGGTGCAACGGCGTTGGAAACCTATATATCGCCAGAGAAATTCCGAAGTCGCGCCATATGTCGCACACGCACTCTGGGAGGCCGGGATTCGGGACAGAGACGCAAACCAGGGCCGGCGCACGGGCGACGGGCGACGATCGGGCGACGCACTGAACGAAACTTCAGGGGGGGGGGGTCGCACGACTGGGCCTTAACACCAGGGGGGCCCAGCCATTTGTTAACCACAAGCTGACACCCCCAGATTGGCAATCTATGGGGCGATTGGGGGCCGATGCGTCTCCGTCTGAGCCTATCCCCCCCGCCCCCCGTGACGTCGCACCTGGTTTTCGGTTCCGGCGGCCGTCCGGGACGATCTGGACACCCCCAGAAGTCTCTCGGCGAGGCGCAGCTGCTGGAACGCACCCCGACGCTGGAAAACCGCTGCGAACAGACGGAGATGCCCGAAAACCATGGACCTCGAAGCTCGCCCCCCTCCTCCTCCTCCTCCTCCTCCTCCTCCTCCTCCTCCTCCTCCTCCTGCTCCTGCTCCTCCCGCTCCTCCTCCCCCTCCTCCTCCTCCCCATCCCCGTCCTCCTCCTCCTCCTCCTCCTCCTCCTCCTCCTCCCCATCCTCGTCCTCGTCCTCCTCCTCCTCCTCCTCCTCCTCCTCCCCCTCGTCCTCCCATCAGCCTCGCGGGCGGTGGCCCGGCGGCGGCCCACGGCAAGTCGGCGTCCAGGGTCGCTCCCCTGGGCCGCTGGCTGGGCAGGAAGCGAACGCCGAGGGCCTCGGGGCGGACGGGGGCGGGCGGCGGAGAAAGAGCACTGGAGGACGCCAGCCAAGAATCTGATGGGCCGCGGGCTCGACGCGGACTCGGCGACGAGAGGTCGACGCGGAGTCGACGCGGCCTCGACGTGGACTCGACGCGGATGCGCGGGCGTGCCCGCCGCTCGTGACCCCCCTTGGGCCGACCAGGTGGCTCGGTGCCCACCTCGGGCCGCGCGCAGCCCAGCTGGGTCCCACCCCCCTGCGGCGGGGAGGACGGGCAAGCCCGCCGCGCTCAGCGGCCGCGCAGCTGGTGCCGTGCGCGGAGGATGATGGGCCTGTTTTCCACCACCACCATCATAAGTTGGAGGGGGAGGGGGTCCTCCTCCCCCTCGTCCTCTTCCTCCTCCTAATCCCCCGCCTCCCTCCCCCCTCCAACTGATGGTGGTGGTGGAAAACAGGCCCATCAGAATCGGCATCGATCCTCGCCATGCCGATCCTGGGTCCATGACCGGTGTATCCCTCGTTTGGAAGAGTGCGGGGACAACAAACGACCACAGCCACGTCGATGACGCATCCTGTGGGATGTTCTGCGCACGCCATCAACCGTCAGAACAACGAAATCAACCTAGTACTAATCGTGGTCGTTGTGGCCGTCCCAAACGGCCACGACCACGACCACGACCACAACCAAAGTGATAATGTCGAGGTCGGTGGGTTCTCCCCCGAGTGCCCTTCAGAAAAATCCACTCCATTGTGGTTGCGGTTCTGTGTCGCACCCTCAAAGAAGTGAGTAAGTATAAAGTAGGAAGACGTCGAGAACAAACAAGACTTCCTCCCGCCCCTGGAAAAGAAGGGAACGTGAACGCCACTCGAGTATTGAAGCATGAAGTCGCCTAAAACAGATTGGTACCTGGAAATACCCAAACACACATACAAATTCCAGAATCAATGCTTGCACTGAAGCCTTCCTAACGGAAATTGGAAGATATGGCAAATAATTCCCTGCCGATTTCGGTAGGCGGCTGTGTTGCCCCATTCCCAATTCCGGGTTCCCAGTTCTGGGCTGCGTTCGGCGGGCGGCTGGGCTCCCGGGTGCCTTGTTCCTAATTCTCAGGTTCCCGGCAATGTAAAATCTGCTGGGTTCCCAATCATCTCGTCACCCTCCTCACTCCTCCTCCTCCTCCTCCTCCTCCTCCTCCTCCTCCTCCTCCTCCTCCTCACTCCTGCTCCTCCTCCTCCTGCCTCCTCCTCCTCCTCCTCCTCCTCCTCCTCCTCCTCCTCCTCCTCCTCCTCCTCCTCCTCCTCCTCCTCCTCAATCATCATCGTCACCCCCCTTACTTTGGCACACCTCTCGCACGTTCCGTGGCCCCAGAGGAGCTCCGAAGACGGCCCCAGTGGTGCCGTTCGCGTGCGCCACCGCCACACATTTCGGCACACCCCTCACACGTTTCGTGGCCCCATGGGAGCTCCGCAGAATGCGCCAGTGGTGCCGTTCGCAAGCATCCCCGCCACCCATTTCGGAACACCCCTCACACGCTTCGTGGCCCCATGGGAGATCCGCCGAAGGTCCCAGCGGTACCTTTCGCATGCGTCCCCGCCACTCATTTCGGCACGTCCCTCACACGTTTCGTGGCCCCAAAGGAGCTCCCTTGAAAGTCCCAGCGGCGCAACTCGCATGCGTCCCCGTCACTCATGTCGGCACGCCCCTCACGCGCTTCGTGGCCCCATAGGAGCCCCGCTGAAGGTCTCACTGGTGCCGTTCGCATGCGTCCCCGCCACCCTTTTCGGCACACCCCTCACGCGCTTCGTGGCCCCATCCGCTGAAGATCCCAGCGGTGCCGTCCGCATGCGTCGACGCCACCCATGTCGGCGCGCCCCTCACACGTTTCGTGGCCGCATGGGAGCTCCGCCGAAGGTTCCACTGACGCAGTTCGCATGCGTCCCCGCCACCCATGTCGGCACACCCCTCACACGTTTCGGGGCCCCATAGGAGCTCCGCCGAAGGTTCCACTGACGCAGTTCGCATGCGCCCCCGCCACTCATTTCGGCATACCAATCACACGTTTCGTGGACCCATAGGAGATCCGCCAAAAGGCCCCTGTGGCACAGTTTGCATGCGATCCCGCCACATATTTCGGCACGCCCTTCCCACGCTTCGTGGCCCCAAAAGAGTTCCGCCGAAGGTTCCACTGGCACAGCTCGCATGCGCCCTCGCCGCCCATTTCGGGACACCCCTCACGCGTTTCGTGGCCAATAGGAGCTCCACCGAACGCCCCAATGACATAGTTTACATGCGCACCCGTCACCCACTGCCGGTACACCCCTCGCACGGATCGTGGCCCCATAGGAGCCCCACCAGAGGCCCCAGGGCGTATGGCCACATGCGTCCCCGTCACCCAATGTCGGCACACCTCTCACACTTTCGTGGCCCCGTGGGGAGCTCCACCGAAGGCTGCAGGGGGCGCATCCACATGCGTCCCAGGGACCGATTTCGGCACACCCCTCACGCGGTTCGTGGCCCCATACGGAAATCCAATGAAGTCCCCATGGGGGTGCATCCACATGCGTACCAGGTACCGATTTCGGCACACCCCTCACACGGTTCGTCTCATCTCCCTCGTGGTACCAGCAACTGAATACGGCTGGGTCCTTTGCCAGGCAAGCTTCATAATTTTCAGAAAATGCTACTAAACGGGCGTCGCGCGTGCATGTCGAATTCGTTCGAACGCCTTTGCGCACATGCACTCGCGAAAACCCAATGCAAAACATATGACGAAACGCGCGCGCGGTCGCGAGCGCATGCGGAAATCTGTCAACACGTTTTGGTTCTGGAGCGTTTCCAGAACCGAATGTCCAAAACGCATGGTTTCGCACATGGCGAGCATGCGCGGGCTAGCGCGGCACAGATGTACCAGCTAACGCCAAGCACTCATCGCAATCGTCGCCGAGGTTGCGGGTGGGTGGATGGGATGTTTGCAAGACCATGGAGGTTGCAAACTCGTTTTAATTTGATTATAAAAACTATCGAATCCCACCATAGAAGGCAACAAATAGATTGCATCGCATAGATCGCACCACATAAAATGCCCCACATATATTGTTCCACGTAGAATGCAAACCGCAATTTGCATAACTTCGAAAACATAACATACATGGCACCGCAGGTATTACACCACGTAAATCTCACCACATGAACTGCATCGCGTATTTTGCTCCACATAGATCGCACAACGCATGTTGCTAGAAACACGGTACTTGGGGTCCATGCTTGCTAAAATGTTTGTATAGGTGTTAGCCAGCGTGGACCACAAACAGTTCGTGCTGCCGATATCTATATATAGATATATGTATATAGATGTGTGTTGTTCGATATCTCGTATGCAATACGTATTTTGTAGCAGATGCAAGGAAATGTGATGAAATGTTGAACCTACGTTGTGCAATAGATGTGGCGCGCTCTAAGCAAAGCGACGCGACGCAGCGCAATACAAAGCAATGCAACGCAATGCAAAGCACTGCAGAACAATGATAGCAATGCAGCGTACAGAAATGCAGAGCCAAGCGAAACAATGGAAAACAATGCCAATCAATGTACCGCACTTCAGCGCAACACAAAGCAAGCAATGCAACGGAATGCGAAACAATGCAAACAACTGTTACGTAATGCAAAGCAACGCCACTCAATGGAAGTCAATGCCAAGCAATGCTAACTACACCAAAAGAACTCACAGCATTGCAAATCAATGCCAAGCAATACACCAATCCACGAAATGCAATGCGATTGAAAAGCAAATGCGATTACAGCGTAATGCAACGAAAGCACTGCAAAGCGGCAATACCAAACAATGCTAAACCATGCAAAGCACGACATAGCAGCAATACAAAACAATGAAACACCATACATAGATTAGACAACTACATAGCACGGCACAGCAATGCAGGCCCAGATGACGGGCGGCGACGAGGCGGCGACGGGGAGGCGACGGCGACGACATAGCTGCCACATCGACCCCCAGGCCCAGACGACGGGCGGCGACGAGGCGGCGACGAGGCGGCGACGGGGCGGCGACGGCGTCGACACAGCCGCCAGAGCGACCCCGACGCTCAAGTCCCTATTACAGGAGCAAGAATGGGGAATCTGGATCTCCTTAACGAACGCTGGTTACGTTTCCGCGAGGAGGCTCCGAAATGCCTCGAGAAGCAGGGAGCCCCTTGGGCCAGGACCACCTCGGGCAACACACGAATCGCGGGGCCCTCGGGTCGGTGGCAAGGTGGCCGGCGCCCTCCGACGAGGGCGCGCCCACGAGGCCTGCTGCCGCGCCGCCGCCAGCTCCTCCGCGGCCGCCAGCGCCGCGGCCGCCAGCGCAGCGAGCTCGACCGCTGCGGGCGCCCGCGCCGCGACCGCCAGTGACGCGGCGGCGGCAGCGGCTGGCTCGGGGAAGACCCGGCCGAGCGTCCTGCGGACAGCCACGGCAGCGGCAGCGTCGTGGAGCCCGCCCGCGGCGGGCGCGGCGCGGCCCGCCTCCATCCCCATCTCCACCTCCAGGAAGGCTGCGAGGCACTGGAGGGTGTGCAGGTCGAGCACCCTCTGAGAGGCCGAGGCCTCCAGCGCGTGCGCCGCGGCGGCGATGCCGACCCGGCTGCAGGCCAGGTCCAGAGGCGGCGTGTAGCTGCAGCCCGCCATGCCGGCCGACTGCGCGGGGCCGCCCCACAGCAGCAGCTCGCGCCCAGCCGCGGCCCGCGCCCGCGGGTGAGCCGGCAGCGCGCACAGGGCGGCGTGGGTGAGCCGGCACCCGCTGCGCTCCAGGTGGGCCCGGACCGCAGCCGCCATGGGCGCTGCAGCCTCGCCCGCCACCGCGAGCTCCGCGGACAGGGCAGCCTCTCGTGGGGAAAGTGCACGTAAAAGTGGCCCGAGTTTGGAGGAAACTCGCTCTGGACGGGCACTGGAAGTTCCTGGCAGAAACAAAGTATCAGCTCCAAGTCGGGTTCGATTCCCAACGACACCCTTGGGCTAAGCCCCCTCCTGCGTACCCTGGACCCTCCTGGGCCGCCTCCCAGGGGGAACGTAAGCTTAAAAATGTGAGAGGAGCATCGCTCTGAACGGTTTCTGGAAGCCCCCGAAGGTAGGCCCGGTCCCCAAACCCACCCATGGGCTAACCCCCCAGACATGCGACGTCCTGTTTTTTTCAGGACGGCATCCCTGGAAGTCCCGACTCTTTTCCCGGGACCGGTTTCCCGTCCCGAGTCGTTGTTTGACGGTCCTGGGGCCCGGCGAGGGCCCCCCCCGGGCCGAGAATAGCCAACAACCTCCCGTCCTGATTTTTGTTACGACGCCAGCATGTCTGGGCCCTTCTGCGTACCCCCGAGCCTCCAGCGCCTGCGCTAACGCGCTGGCCCCCTCTGGACCGTCCGCCACGGCCGCGGGCGCCACGTGGCACGACGACAGCGCGGCGGCCACCGCCAGCAGCAGCGGGGGCCCCAGCACCGGGGGCCCCCGCGGGGGCCCCCAGCAGGCGCCCGAGTCCGCGGCGGCCCGCAGGCGGGCCCCCAGCGCGGCGCACGTGCACGGCCACTCGCCTGGCGCCAGCTCCGACACAGCGTCCAGCAGCGCCTCCGCCAGGGGCGAGAGCCAGACGTAGCTCCGCAGCCTCGGGCGTTGCCCCATGGGGGGCGATCGAGGGGGCGGGGGGGAGAAGCGTGCACCTTTCGTGCCCTGCTGGGCCCCAGGGGGAATTCGGGCCACTCCAGGGCACAAAAAGTGTCAGCTCTTCAACCCCACAGCTACAGACCCCCCTGTTACGCAACGCCCGACAACCCCGGGGGGCCGGCGCCGCCGGCGCCGCTGGCCAGGCGCTCCGCCCTGTCAAGGACCTCTGCGCCCAACTTGCACTGGGGCGAGCCTGCGCAGCGGCGGCAGACGGCAGAGAGAGGGTGAGAGAGGAGATGAGGGGCAACGATAGGGGGGGACAAACATGGGGGGGGGTGGGGGGGCACATTGAACATCGACCTGGAATCGCCGAGACATCGCCGATAGATCGCGCGTTCCTGGGCAGGCTGGGGCCATCGGGACCAAATCGGCGATCAATGGGCTATTTGGGATCGACGCATCTCCGCTCCCCTAGGCATGTCCACCCCCTGTCGTGGACCCCGGGGAGACAGGGGGGGGGGGAGAGGCAGGGTGCACAGGGGCGGCGGAGAGGCAGGAGGGAGGGAGGGAGGGAGGGGCGGAGACGGGCGGGAGGCAGTGGGGAGGGGGAGTGGGGGAATCATCACAGGCACGGATACGACCAGGGGCACCCCTTGACCTGAAGGTTGATGGTACGTGATGAGCGCTGTACCCCCCGCCGCGATCCGACAGGGGTAGGGGGAGCGAGCCTGGGGCGGAACGAGTCGGAGAAGGGCGAGGCGGATTCGGAGGTGGAGGATGGCCACACACAGGAGAACCTCGGGCTCGGAACTCAAGGTGTGGGAGCTCACAGGTTGGCCTCGTCCCGCAGCCAGGGCGTCGATTCGCAAGTGGACCCGAGTGGAATACATCGTAATGGGACGTCGCCTCATTGCAACTGGCCCCGCTTGCTTGCAAGCTAGACAGGGAGATGGGAGAGGAAGGGGGAGGAAAATGGAAGAACCAGTGAGGAGAAACAAAGGGGATGGTCCCCAGGAAACACATGAGCAAATCCACCACCAGAAATATTACGCGAAACAATTTCGGCTCCTCCGCGATCAGGAGAGTACGGGGGAGAGGCGACGGGAAAGGTGGAGGAGCATGAGCAGGAAAGTGATGATGGGGAAACCAAAAGGTACCGATATCACTGTTCACTGGACCTCTCCCATGGTGTTTTCTGACATTCATTTCGGGACGAATCAAACGGTGGCGACGAGGGCCTCCAAGGATGCCGACAGGCAAGCACGATTAGCGGCATCGGTACCTGGTCCTCCTCTGGCCCGAGACGAACCAGCAACAGCGGAAACGGCAACAAATCCAGCGGGGGGAGAAGAACCCAGATCGGAGAGGAGGGGGAGGGGGAGGAGGGGGGGAGAGACCGCTGCTGGATGGTACTACTCTTCCTCTCACTGACCCTCAAACTGGCCCTGGACAGACGGAGAATGTGCTGAGGCTGCGGACGGGAAAACGACATACTTGGGCTAGAACGGAAGATCTGGAACGCATTATGCATCAGGTCCAACGCAACACAATGCAACAACGAGGTGATGAACTATGGTGGCTCGATATTCGGATTGGTTTCACGATGGAGACGGATGCGGCGTCCAACAGTCCTCCAAACTCTAAACAGCTCACACATGTGCTGAAGATCAGCCGCACACTTGCGGTCCGCGGCTCACGCCGCAGACGCCGCAATGTCACGCTTTAGAGCAGACTCGCGCCAGGCGAGCGCGCGTATCGCATTGAGGCGGCCACTTGCAAATCGAAAACACCTCGGTTAATCCAAACGCCCAGATCCTGGTCGTAGAAACGATATGGAGACGGAAATCCGAACAGCGCTCTTGGCTTCATGAAGCCAATCCCCAGGAATAACTCTACCTAGTTACATGGAGCACGCAATCCTCTCCTTGATGATCTCAGCGACGCATTTGCAAATATGCTCACCGACGGGACTAGCAGCGCAATGGAATATGTCATTTGGAGCGCTCAGCTACTCGTCAACGTGAGCACAGAGCTCCTCGGGCACAAGACGGTCCTGCATGGTGCTCTTGAAACATCGTGCTTGGCAATCCAGGATGGCATCGGTGTAGGCCCTGTGGGGAACCAAGCTGAAAGAGTGAGGGAGACGCAGGGCGTCTTCGGGGGGCTGCAGGGGATCGGCTTGCCACGCTGTGGGGATCTGCACTGGCCCCCCCCCGTGGTCGTGACCTGCAGTGGGAGGCGGAATGTTGCAACTCTTGTAACTCGATGCAGGCTCCTATCACCTCCAATGACAACGGTCTTCTGCCGAACACTCAAACTGGCCTGAATTTGTTTCGGCTCGTTTGTGATAACTATCTCGACATCCACCGATCCGCCACCATGCCTCGTGGCACGCACATTGAGGCGTGCTAGAATGGCAAATGCTGCCTGGCAAGGTTTCTGTAATCTTCTACGGGCCTCCCCCTTCCAAGTCGCGTAGAGTCGCGCGAATCGCCCCCTCTTCCGGCTCTGTCGGCGCCCAGACACGTTCCTGGCGCTTCCCAAGGCGTCCAAGATGCCCAAGGTGGTTTCCAAGACGGACCTCTGCAGCCGTCAAGAGGCCCAAGATACCTCCAAGATGGCCGGGGATGGCTCCAAGATGGCCTCGGGACGGCCCCGGAGGCTTCCACGAAGGATCAAGAGAGCTCCAAAACAGCCTCCAACAAGGTCCGAAGAGGCCAACATCGTTGATTTTCCCGTATGTTTTGGAGTGGTTTCGGATCCTCGCCTTGTCAAGCTTCCGTCGGCTCAAGACGCCCACGAGGCCTCCAAGATGGCTCCACGAGGGCCCAAGGGAGCCTCAAGATAGCCCAAGAGGTCTCCAAGACGGCCTTCAGGCAGCTCGAGACGGCCACTGGGCAGCCCAGGACGGTCGGCCTAGGAAGACCCCTGGACGGCTCAAGACGGCCCCATGATAACCCACAGAGAGACTCCCAAGACGGTCACAAAAGCCCCAACAGAGCCCACGACAGCCCAAGCGAGCCTCACGACGGCCAAAGAGGGTCTCAGGGGAATCCCAATACGGCCTCTCGAGAGATCAAGACATGCCCCTGACGCCGAATAAACGCCACGAGTCACAAAAGCCCACGGATCACAGCACGTTGACGACAGACAGCCCAAGGAACCCTACAAGAGGCCTTAAACATCTGTTCAAATGGGCCGAACTGCCACACATCACAGGCACCCGTGCTCTGTCGAACGGTCGAAACCCAACATGTTTGGCTGGCACGGTGGCGGGACTTGCCGCGGGCAGCTGGATACTTCATCAAACTACTACTCAGTGGCCTGTCCCCGTGTGAACTCATGAGTGATGAGTTCCCTCACATGGATAACCGACTGGTCATGTCCAGCACTGAGCCCAAGGTCGCGGTACTCACAGTCAAGAACAAGTAGGCAACTCAACAATCATAGTTTCCTGGGTGGTACCAGACATACTGCCCAAGCCGGCTAGCTGGCTAGAGACATGCCATTGCGCACGCACTACCAACCTTCGACAACTACACTCTTCTCAGACAAATTTGGGAACAGATACTCATCATGTATCCAACCTGGTACTCCGTGGCACCCAAACGAACCAAAACTATCGTTCGCTAACCGTGTTCAGGAACCGATATGACGCGCAGCGAGCTGAGCAACCTTGCCACAATCTAAGAATATCACATGGTGCACTATGCCAGGGTCGGCTTCATCACCATGCACCATTTCACTGCACTGCTCATCTTTTCCCGAGGCAGGTCCCAAAAAGGTGGGCACGGCTGAGGTCCAAAAGTGAACTCTGTAGGCAACGCTGAGGAAACTGTATACACCAGATGCTGTTAAACCTTGACTTTCTACAGACCGCTGCACCAGGCGGTGGTGGGGGGCGAATCGTGCAACAGGCGTCCACACTCGACCAAGATAGTAAGGATGCGCGGTACGGATGCAAAGGCCTTGGAACGCCATGTTGACGTTTTCCGTGCGGAGCGCAGCAGAATGCCGAAGGATGCCGAATACCGAAGGGGCAAGGATGCAAGGGTAGCCTTGGAAAGTTGCCCCATCCTTACTATCATGGTTGACTGTATCTTAATATTTTGTAGAAGCACACGTGCGCGGGTCAGTGAAACCGAACAACACAGATCACATAACTCCCCGTGCCCCCTGCTTGGATGCTACAGAAGTGAACCCAGCAACATTGAAACAAAAACAGATCATCAACCTCGCCTGGCGACATATTCCAATCGCCTCCTTTGGTCCAAGGACCCTCGATGCTATCAATAACTGCGCTGCTCAGTACAGACAAGGGCGATGGGGGAGCTGGGGGGAGGCGGAGGAGGAGCAGGGGGAGGAGCAGGAGAACCGGAGCACGGCGGCGCAGGACAAAAAATGCCATTCGAGAGACAGGGCCCAGGCATCTGCCCTGGAAGAAGACGGGCGGCGGACGCTGCGGCGGACGCTCCGATCAAAAACACATGGAGCACGTCGAGAACGTCCAGTATATATGTATATATATATATATAACCATACGCGAAAGAGGCGGGAACACAGGAGCGCATTGTCAGGGGAAAGTGGGGAGTAGGTCTCGTACTGAATAGTTGTGCTGGGAGAGGGGAAGGAGAAGTGGATGCGGGGTAAGGGGGAGGAGATACGAAGGGGGATGCGGGGAAAGGACGGGGGATGCGGGGTAAGGATGGGGGAAGGAAGGGGGAGGAGGTACGAAGCGGGGAAGGAGGGGGAGAGGACGAGAGGAGGACGAGAGGAACTCAAGGAGGACAAACTGTGGAGGAGAGAGAGAGAGAGAGAGAGAGAGATGGAGAGAGAGGGAGAGACACACGCACAGAGGACTAAGGCAGAGAACCAGAGGGAGAGTCAGAGAAAGAGAGGAGAGGAGTAGAGAGGACGAGAAAGAGAGAGCGAGAGAGAGAGAGATTTCAGTGCAAAACGATCGATGCGACGGCGAGCGAGCCGCCCCTCCGGGCCCAGGCCAGCCCGCGCGGCGCGGCGGAGCGGCGGCAGAGCGCTGCTCGAGGCGGCGGCCTCGCGTCGGCGGCGCGGCGGCGCGGCGGCGGAGCGCTGCTCGAGGCGGCGGCGGCGCGTCGGGCGGCGGCGGAGCCTGGCCCCGCGGGCCCCGCCGCGCCGCCGAGCCAGCGCGCGCGCGCGGGCCGCGCCGCGGCTGGCCGCGGCCGCCCCGGCGGCGGCGGCGGGCCGGCGCCAGGCGAGGGGCGCCGCAGCCGGCGTGCAGGGAGGAGCTGCTGGGCGGCGGGGCAGTCGGGGCCGGGCGAGCGCAGGTGGCAACTGGCAAGGAGGGCGTTCCCGGGGGCGCAAGGCTCGTCGTCGTCGTGGTCGCGGTCGTGGTCGAGGGCGCCCGAGACGGGACTTTTCGGGGGAGGTCGGGCTGGGCTCGTCGTCGTCGGCGTCGTGGTGGTCGTGGTCAGTCGTCGTCGCGCTCTCCTCCTCCTCCTGCTGCATCCCTGCTCCTCAGAAACAGCTCCTCCCCGTCGCACCCCCAAACGTGTCGGCAGGGCGGGCCGGGCATTCCGCCTGAGACTTCCTCACCAATTCTGACCGTGAAGCTTGAAATGTGCAGCAGTTTCACGGATGGAAGGTGGGTCCTTTTCACCCTGAGCGCCACTCCTCGCACCCGTCTGACAAGCCCGCAACCATTTCACGGATGCAGCGCGGGCCGTTCTCAACACGGAGCTCACTCCTCAGTGCTGCGCGAATTCGTCGTAAATGTTTGCGACAGCTCCACGGATGGAGGGCGGGTGGTTTTCAAGATGTGGCTCTCGCCTGAGCGCGGCGCGCATTCGACTTACAGTGCGGATGCGGCCACAAAAAAAGCCTTGCAAGAAACCCATCTCTGAAAACCCGCGCGCGAGCGGCCGCAAGAAACCCTCACAAGAAACCCAGCCCTGAAAACCCGCGCGCGAGATGCAGACGGGGGAGCCCAGAACAACCTGAACGCAGCAGCTACTTCTTCGGCCGCGGGAAGTCACCGCGCAGCGCGTGGAGCGAAGAAACCCAGGGTACCGTGGCGAACCACACATGGTATCTGTATGCGCATCCCGATGGTAAAAGCTTGCAGCAACTTCACATATATAAGGAGCGCAGTTGTTGCTTTCCTGTGGTTATCGCCTTAGCGCCGCGCACATTCGTCTTACAAGCTTGCAACATATTCACGGATGGAGGACGGTTCCTGTTCAAAATGTGTCTTTCGCCTTGGCGCCGCGAACATTCGTCTTGAACACTTGCAACAGCTTCAAGGGTTCGTATGGTTAATCCCAGGAATGGCTTTCTGGCACGATTCAGGATTGCCAGGACCCAGCAAACAACCTGGTTCGCGGCTTTGCAGTCCCAAGAGTGGTGCCCCAGCACGGTTCAGAACTGTCAGGACGCAACAGCCGCGTTGATTCGTAGCGCTGAAGTCCCAGGAATGGTGTTCGACAATATTGAGGACTCTCACACGATTGTCTTCCAACGGGGCATTTGCCGCGAGAAGATAAATTCGAGTATGGACCTATGAGGAGGGAGCTTGGATGGATGGAACTTGATGCGTCTTGAGTCTACACTGGTCCTCCTCCTCCTGCAGTGAGGGTGGTACGTTAGTTTGCGAATCGCTCAGGGGGGGATATCGAGCTGGAATCGGCGCATCGTGATAAGCCCCTGATGGCGAGCCCGCACGCTCATTGGCGGGGCGGGCAATCGGGTCGCCATCATCGATCAATGGGCGATCGGGGGTCGATGCATCCCCACCTGAGCATATCCCCCCTCTTACGTTACGGGTGTTGCCAGAAGTGTCCCTAGTCCAAGTTGTCCCGAAGATTTCCAAGGAGGCCCCCACGGCCTCCAAAGCACCCCTCACGAGGACCATCGCTCGGGTCAACCACGGCCTCAGGAGGGCTCCAGGGGCGCACTTCCATCGTTAGGGTCAAGCGGCCCCACAAGTTCCAGGAGTCCCAAAGACGTTTTGCATACTGTACGGATTTCCTCTGCCCCTCCATGCCCAAAATGTTGTTTCGGATCAATGAAACGGATCCAACCCTGAACAACGCCACTGGATATGATGTGTAGGGGCGCTTGCAGTCCGGAGCGGAAAGCTGGGGACACCCTGGGCCAGAGACACCTCCCGCAACTCCCGAACGTTGCCCCTTCGAGCACCGCCGCGGCCGGAGCCGGCGGACAAGCGCGACCCAGTCGGCGCGCGGATGCTTCGAGCCGCCAATGCCGAGCTTGTAGTCCTAGAAGGAGAGCAGACGGCATCCTGTAGTCCTCCTCGCCTCCTCCTCCTCCTCCTCCTCCTCCTCCTCCTCCTCCTCCTCCTCCTCCTCCGGGACCTGTAGTCCTAGAAACTGCCTCGGACGACCGCGCGAATTTGCGTGGACCGACGCCGGGACCCCCCTCCCTGGGCACGCCAGGGGGGGGAACTCAGCGCCGATCGGCGAAGCTGGGGCCCGCGCGTGTGCACACCAGAGAAAAGGGGCCCGCGCGCCTGCTGGACCCTCGTCTTCGTCGCCCTCGTCGTCGTGGGCGCTGCCCTCGTCGTCGCTCTCGTAGATGTCTGGCTGGATGGATTGCACACTACTTCGAGGTTCTGCCCGCCCCGACCCGCCCGTTCGGGTCCGCCCGACCAATCCGCCTGCCAAGGTCTGCGGTCCCGACCTGCCCGTCAGGCTCAGCGCCGATCGAAGAAACTGGGGATCGCGCGTAACCACGAAGGGTCTTTAAAATAAGCCCCCGAACAACGATGGGGAACTCCATAATTTTCCGCGGGCTCGAGGAACTAGGGACTGCGCGTATCCACGCCGCCTGCTGGGAGGCTCAGCGCCGAACGGAGAAACTGGGGACCGTGCGTAACCCCAAAGGGTCATTAATGAACCCCTGGGCAATGATGGGGAACTGACTATAATTTTTCTGCGGGCTCACGGAACTGGGGCCTGCGCGTATACACACCAAGGCATATGGTCCAGCGCCGCCTGCGCCGCCTGCTGGGAGGCTCAGCGACGATCGAAGAGATTGGGGACCGCGCGTATACCCTGTCCCGTGGGGCTCCGCAGAAACGCCACGGGACAACGTGGAGCGTAATCTTCTGGCTGCTTCTCAGGGCGACAGGTGTCGGAATTCCGCCGACCCTGCCGGCGAGTGTGCAACGTTCTTCCGGTGGAGCCGCCGTCGCCGCCGCCCCGGGGTGGGATCCCGGCGGAGGCCCCAGGGGTCGTGGCCTCCTCCCTCCCGGAAGCCTCCTTCCCCTGTGGACAAGGGGGGGCGGGGACACGGGGGTGGTCCCCTTTGTGGGCAAGGGGAACTTCCCCCCCCTTCCCCCCCCCTCCCTCCTGTGGACAGCGGGACCACCATCCACCTCCTGGCCCCCGCCCCCAGAGGCACCCTCCACACTTTTGGTCCCGCTGTTGCGGGGCGCTGGGTGTTCCTACAGGCTTCCAGGAGGCCTCCGATCTGCTCCGAGGCGGCTCCAAGGGACCACGGAACTTCCCAAGAAGTCCCCAAAAAGGCCCCCAAACAGAGCCCAATTGGCTCCCAAGAGAGCCCCAGGGCTCCAGAGCGTAAGCGTCGTCGTCGTCGTCGTCGTCGTCGTCGCCGCTGCCGTCGTCGTCGTCGTCGTCGTCCCCTTTCATGGTCGGCGGCGCCGGCTGTAAGCCTTCCGAAAATGTGTGTGTATATGCATATGCGCTGTGCTTGGGCCTCCATTTGCCACTAACTCGTGGGCACACGTAACATCACCGCACAATGGACACGCTCCTGGCCCAGAGAACTCCGCGCGGAACTCCGCGACATTGTGGCAAAACCGTGTTTCGTTCGCCGACGGGACCGAGGCCTGCGCGCGGCCGAGAAGGGGGGCCAAGGAACGCGTTGAGATAAGAAGGGGACATGAACTCTGAGAGATATCCAGGCCCTGGCCATCATATCCACCACACCCCCACCCACAGTCGAAGCCGACAGGAAAGATGGGCAACATTCCCAACGACACCCCTGCATCCTCGCCTCTTCGGTTCATCCTTGCCCACTTTAGATGGCCCGCCGCGCCCGAGAAAGCTTCGACGTGGGCGTCCAAGGG